TCTGCTGAGGGATTTCAAACCTTGGGAAAGATGTAGGCTTTTTGTGAAGTGCTACAGTCTAGAGCACAAATAGGAAATGTAGTGATGCCTTTTGAGTTATGAACTTTAGAATATACTAAATTAACTTAAGACGGAGCCATACATTTTGTATATGCTGCCCTCCCCTAGTTGGCTGTTTTTCTTCAGTTCTGAGATGTCTGTTTAGCTGATGGGATTGCCTAAACAGGGGTTGGCAAACTTTTGCTGCCAGAGGCAGCAGCTTGCAACCTGGCCCCTGCCATAGGCCGCACACATCCAGCCCCCTGGAGAGCTCAAAACTGCCTGAGCTAACTTGACTTAACTCGCTGCAGGCTGCAAATGAAGATACTGGAGAGTGGGTAGGTGGCTTGGCACAGCTCTGCCACTAACTGTCCTGTGCTGCCCCAGGCTGGGTTAGACCTACCTAGACTGGATCCAACCTTTTTGTGGGCTAGATCTGGCCTGAGGGCCTCAGGTTGTAGACTCCTGACCTATAGGAATCTTTCAATAAAGAAAACTGAGACCTGCCCCAGGGAATTCCACATGATGCTCATGGAAGCAATATGTAGAGAGTAGAGTGTAGACCAGACCAGACCTTGTCTCTTTCTTTCTGTCATTTTTAAGCATTCTTTTTTTTTTAAATATCCTTCTTTTACGTGTATATGTATCCAATCCTTTGAGCATCTCAAAAAAATGTTTTGAAGAAACCCATTTTGTCTTTTCTATGGTGAAAGCAGGTTTTCTCACATTAACATCATAGGCTTGTGAATCTCTTTCCTTTACTACTGTATTTTCTTTCATACCACTTGCCCCTGAATAAGATGTACCTTGTTTTTGAAAGGTGGAATGAAGGAAAAAAAAACACTTTTCCTTGAAAGTACCAGTAAGTATGGCGTTTCCACAGGGGAAAATGTAGGCAGCTGCAGTGGGGGAATGCAAAAAACTGTGGCTGCTCTGTTAACCCCCACTAGCTGTAAGAAGCCCTTCTGTCTGAGTCAAAATAGCTAGCCCTTCTAATCTTCTCAAGCTGAGTTGGGTGGGCAGCTAGCAGTACCAGCCAATCCTAGCCAGCAGCACTTGTGGAGTCAACTGAGGGCACACCTGGCTCAAATAGAGGGACTAAGCAGTTGAGCTCCAACAGGATCAAGCCCTCCATTGACCTGGCAGGTGCTCTTGGCTTTCCCCTCCCGCGCCCCCGCCA